GGAATCCTTTTGCATGAATGACTGCTTCAATGCGGCGTGGCATGGAGGCAATCAGCCTGTGGCACTGCTGAGGAGTTATGGAGGACCAGGATGCTTCGATAGCGGCCTTAAGCTCATCCAGAGTGTTGGGTCTTGCGTCTCTCAACTTCCTCTTCACAATATCCCACAGGTTCTCTATGGGGTTCAGGTTAGAAGAGTTGGCAGGCCAATTGAGCACAGTAATACCATGGTCAGTAAACCATTTACCAGTGGTTTTGGCACTGTGAGCAGGTGCCAGGTCGTGCTGAAAAATGAAATCTTCACCTCCATAAAGCTTTTCAGCAGATGGAAGCATGAAGTGCTCCAAAATCTCCTGATAGCTAGCTGCATTGACCCTGTGCTTGATAAAACACAGTGGACCAACACCAGCAGATGACATGACACCCCAGTGACTGTGGAAACTTGACACTGGACCTCAAGCAATGTGAATTTTGTGTCTCCTCTCTTCCTCCAGACTCTGGGACCTTGATTTCCAAAGGAAATGCAAAATTTACTGTAATCAGAGAACATAACTTTGGACCACTCAGCAGCAGTCCCAGGCGAGATGCTTCTGACGCAGTCTCTTGTTCAAGATTGGCTTGACCTGGGGAATGCGGCACCTGTAGCCCATTTCCTGCACACGCCTGTGCACGGTGGCTCTGGATGTTTCTCCTCCAGACTCAGTCCACTGCTTCCGCAGGTCCCCCAAGGTCTGGAATCGGCCCTTCTCCACAATCCTCCTCAGGGTCCGGTCACCTCTTCTTGTTGTGCAGCGTTTTCTGCCACACTTTTCCCTTCCCACAGACTTCCCACTGAGGTGCCTTGATACAGCACTCTGGGAACAGCCTATTCGTTCAGCAATTTATTTCTGTGTCTTACCCTCTTGCTTGAGGGTGTCAATGATGGCCTTCTGAACAGCAGTCAGGTCGGCAGTCTTACCCATGATTGCGGTTTTGAGTAATGAACAAGGCTGGGAGGTTTTAAAAGCCTCAGGAATCTTTTGCAGGTGTTTAGAGTTATGTCGTTGATTCAGATGGTTAATAGCTTGTTTAGAGAACCTTTTCATGATATGCTAATTTTTTGGGACAGGCATTTTGGGTTTTCATGAGCTGTATGCCATAATCATCAGTATTAAAACAATTAAAGACCTGAAATATTTCAGTTGGTGTGCAATGAATCTGAAATATATGAAAGTTTCATTTTTATCATTACATTATGGAAAATAATGACCTTTATCACAATATGCTAATTTTTTGAGAAGGACCTGTATAGCGCCTTTCTAACTTATTGAGATACTCAAAGCACTTTACAACAATCTGTGCCTCATTTACCCATTCATACAGCATGCTACTAGATCTCTACAAAGCTAATTGAACAAATCATTCTAAAAAGACTAATCAGAGCTTTATCACATTCATACACCGATGGGACACACATCGGAGGCAACGAGGGGTTCGGTGTCTTGCCCAGGGACACGTCGGCATGTGACTGCTGGTGGATTCGAACCCCCAACTCTTGCATTGGAGGACGACTGCTCTAACCACTCAGCCATCAAATACATTACATGCAAAACTGGTCTACCTCTGTGATATTGTTTCACTGCTGAGTCAGTTGAGCATCTTACTTCACAAGAAAAATAGCAACATATTTTTGTTGCAGACAAAGTTCAACCTTTTAAGAAAAAAAACTTGCTTTGTGGACTAACAGGGCTAAGGAACAAAGGATGGACATGTTTCCACCGCTTCCTGACATGTTAGAAAACTCCCTTAAGGTGAAGATCGATGACTCAGTCTCTCAGTACTTCTCACGAATGGCACAGACATTTGATGAAGACTTTCGTCAAGAGTCCAGAGAGCAACTCATGGATTTTGGATCCATTTTCTGTGAATCCCAGTGATGTTGCTTGTTCCCAGCTTTTAGGCTTTTTGGTCCTGATGGTCGTGTCTATAAAATATTTAATGCAATCATCTGCATTCTGTGTGTTATATGCGTCCTGTCAACCACTTCTAGACATATATGGACCATACCACTGTTTCAGAGGAGTATCCATGTCTGACACTGAGGGCTGTGACACTCATAACACTCACAGCTGAGATTCTCCATTGTGTCCACAATCAATACCTAAGCCTAAAACAGATTCAGGGCAACACTGGAGACTACTCTAAAATTGAGCCTTTCGCCCCTTTCCTCCCAGACCTGAATCTCAAAGATTTCCGACCATAAAATCACAGTTCCAAGAACAGTTAAAATGATGCATGAACCCTTAAGCTCCCAGGCATATGAAAAAATAAGTAAGGTGGTTATTTATTTATATTTATGGTGCCACCTACCTGTTCAGCTGGGGGTCTTTCAGCAATGTCCTGGGCAATGGATGTGGAAGTGTCGCTTTGGGTGAGCAACAAAGAACCTCCACTTGTACTGGCCTGTGTGGATAAGCTGGATTCAGCCTGCATTGACACACATGCACATTTGAATTGAGAATTAGCTCACAATATAACTACAGATACCTTTTAAAAATACAAACAAAACATTTTGAATAAGATTTTTTTATACATACATTTTTTCTGTCTCTCTCAAAGTGTATTTTTGTGTCGAAAGTTACTTCCATCAACTAAAAAGAAAGAAATAATCCCACCAGAGCAACTTACACAAATAGCATACAAGAAGACTGCCTGCATCTGAAAAGATGGATCAATTTAAGGTGTTGTTGGGGTAAATGTAGCTACAAGACTTTTATTTACCCTGGAGCAATAACTTGCGAACATAAAGAGGTAGAAATGCCTACCCAGAACGAAAACTACAAATAATTGGTTAAGATTCTGTATGCAACTCGTTGGTAATAAGTTACTTTAATTTTTTACAATGTCCTGATTGCATTGTCCTTGACAAATAAACACAAAAAATATATACATACAAGAAAACAATTTGTAAAACTAGAACTATATTTTATTCATTATTGTTAGAAAAGAAGAATATTTGGCATCAGAAATGAACTTGTCTGTACTTGTCTTGTTAGATGTCAGTGCTGCATTTAATTAAGATTACCAGAGTTTTACAGAGGCTTGAACACATTGGGATTACAGGAACAATTCTAAAATTATTAAGGTCATATTTATCTGCTAGATTCCAGTTCCTACACCAAAGTTAATCATGGAGCTCCTCAGGGTTCAGTGCTTGGATCAATACTCCTTACTCTATATATGCTTCCTTGAGTTCCATGAGTTTCAGAGTTGTTGTACTGACCATCTCCTCACTCTGCTGTTTTTACTTTCTCTACTGTCCATGACAGTATTCACTGCCGACATTAACTTTGTGTTGTTTTGTTAACCTCTCCATAGAATAAGCATGTAGCCCAATGATTTGTGTTTGTCCATTTCTTATTTCTGTCCTCTAAACTTCCAGCTGGAATAGGCAGATTGCTGCCCATCCTTAACTTGGCGCTAGTTCTGCTAGAGGTCTTTTCCTGTTAACAGGGAGTCTGCTCTTTCCACTGTCACCTTTATGCTTGCTTGAAATAAAGATTTGATGCAACCAAATGGTTTCCTTAGACATAACCATTTACTGATTGTCATGTTGTAAATGACTGATTCTGACTATATTGTATTGTAATTGGACTGAACTGAGTGTTTGTAACTGAACTGGATTCATGGTTTAGACATGCTACTTTGTTTCCCTGAGATGCCCTGCTGTAAAATGGTACTATATAAGTGTTATGTGTTGCCATCATTATATGTTCCCATACAATGGTGAAATTAGTTTTCTGCATTTAACCCATCGCACCTGGGATACACCCAGGTGGAGCAGTGGGCAGCTATGTAAGCGCCTGAGGAGCAATTAGGGATTAGGTGTCTTGCTCAGAGACACCATGACATGTGGAAATGGCTGGGAACCTGGGACTTTCGAGTCCCGAGTCGGTTGCCCTACCTCTACCTTTATATACATAAACTGAACTGATATGAATTGAATTAAATGTAACGAATAAGGTTAATGACATGTAAATCTGTTTCATGTCACCATTGGTGATTTACCTTGAAATTGATTTGTTGAGCTAGTTCTTTAGCCATGTGATCTTCAGCGCTGAGGTCACTGTTGGGCGTCAGAGGCAGGAGGGCGGAGCGCATGGAAGAGTCACAAGTTTCACAACAAAAATCCTGGGATCTGAAAGAAAACAGGCAGAACACAATGTGAGGTTGTCATCTCTCATATAACACATTATTTGAACAATTCAGACAGAAAGATGAGGAGCTGGTTCAGCTAGTGCCAAATAAAATTGATGAGCACTGTGTTTCCAGTCTCCTTGTCTTGCGTTGCAGTAGTTTGCAGAAACACTGGGGGCTGAACATGGAGAAAACAACCTGTGATGCAGAGATGACTATTCCTTTCATGAAATCCCATGAAGTCCCATCATGAAAGGTTGTTGAAATGAAAAAATAAAATATTTGCTTAATAAACTGTTGCTGCCCAATTCTGACTGAGATTGAACTCCAGTAAATGTATGCTACAAGGACAGAGATTCAAGTTTTGCTTAAGTCAGAAGGAAAGACAAAGCTTGTGTCATGGTTTTTAAAGCATATCGTTAACCAGAAAGTGAGGGAGGATTCTTTTAAATTACTATTTACGTTGATAACAATTGGGGATTAAAGAATTTTAGTACGTACATCCAGGAGACAGAATCACAATTCTGTATTATTCTTTGGACACTGCAAGTAAATAATAGCATTATCTCTTAATTCAGACCTTGTACTACTATCAGTTTTAAGCAATCAAACTGCATCTGTCCATCCATCCATCCATCCATTCTCTTCCACTTGTTCCGAAGTCCATTCTCTTCCACTTGTTCCTAAGTCGGGTCTCAGGGGCAGCAACATGAGTAGGAAGGCCCAAATATTTCTTTCCACAGCCACCTCTTCCAGCTCTTCTGGGAGGATTCTAAAGTGTTCCCAGGCCAACAGAGCAACATAGTCTCTCCAGCATATCCTGGGTATTCCCTGGAGTCTCCTCCCAGTCAGACATGCCCGCAGCACCTCACTAGGGAGGTGCCCAAGGAGCATCTTTACCAGATGCCTGAACCACCTCAACTGGCTCCTTTCGATGTGGAGGAGCAGCAGTTCTACTCTGAGTCTATCCTGGATAACTGGACTTCTCACCCTATCTCTAAGGGAGAGTACAGCTACCCTGCAGAGGAAAACTCGTTTCAACCTCCTGTATCCACAATCTCATTCTTTTGGTATCTACCCAGAGTTCATGACCATAGATGAGGGTAGGAACGCAGACTGACCGGTAAACAGAGAGCTTTGCCTTACAGCTCAGCGCCCTCTCCACCACAATGGACTAGTACAGAGTCCACAATACTGCAGACGCTGCACCAATCCGTCTGTCAATCTCACTCTCCATTCTTCCCTCACTCATGAACAAAACCCCAAGATACTTGAACTCCTCCAATTGAAGCAGAACCTCACCCTTGACCTGAAGAGAGCAATTCACCCTTGTCTGGTTGAGGTCCATGGCCTCAGATTTGAAGGTGCTGATTCTCAACCCAGCCGCTTCACACTCAGCAATGAACCTCTCCAGTGAGAGCTGAAGATTATGTCACGATGACACATCATCTGCAAAGAGCAGAGATGGAAACCTGAGGCCACTAAACTGGAATCCCTCCGCTCCCTGGCTGCACAGAGGAATTCTGTCCATAAAAGTTATGAACAGAACCTGTGACAATGGGCAGCCCTGGTGGAGTCCAACTCCCACCCCGAAGGGGTCTGACTTACTGTTGGCAATGCAAACCAAACTCTGGCACCGCTTGAATAGAACTCTACAGTGACTGGTCTGAATGACTATCGGCCAGTGGCCCTCACCCCGATAGTTGCTAAATGCTTCAAAAAACTGTTCATGACCTACATCAAAACAACCATCAACATCAACGAGGACCCTCATCAGCACGCAAAAAGCGAGAACCGATCAACAGAGAACGCCATCTCCTCTGTGGTCCACACTGCTCTCACCCAACTGGAACAGAAGGACTCCTACGTCCGTATGCTCTTTGTGGACTTCACGTCTGCCTTCAACACCATGATCCCCCAAACTCTGATGGACAAACTACTCACACAAGGACCAAGCCCCTCCATTTGCAACTGGGTACTAGACTTTGTAACAAACAAACCACAGTCAGTGAGGATCCACAACTTCTCTTCTTCCACCATAACCCTCAACACTGGCTCCTCTCAAGGATGTGTGCTGAGCCCTCTCCTGTTCACTCTGTTCACGTATGATTGTGCACCTACCCATCCAGGCTGTCACATTGTAAAGTTTGCAGATGATACAGTGGTGGTGAGATGCAATACAAACAATGATAAGTCCAGCTACAGGCAGGAAGTGGAACACCTGGAGAGCTGTGCAAAGAGAATAACCTTCACATCAATGTGAAGAATATCAAGGAGATGATAGTGGACTTCAGAAAGAACAAACACACCTACACCCCCCTGAACATAAGAGGATCTGTGGTGGAAGTGGTCTCCAGCTACAAGTACTTGGGTGTACACCTGAATGACAACTTCAGTTGGGGCAACACCACCACCAGCCTGATCAAGAAAGCTCATCAGAGACCCTACTTCCTCAGGCGGCTGAGACGAGCTGGTCTGGGAAGCTCAGTCCTCACCTCCTTCTACAGGTGTGCAGTGGAAAGCATCCTGTGTTCCAGCATCAACGTGTGGCATGAAGGCTGCACAGCTGCAGAAAGAAAAGTTTTGCAGAGAGTAGTGAAGGCTGCACAGAAGTCTGTTGGAGTCAGTCTCCCCACCATCACAGACATTAACACCTCTAGATGCAGGAAGAGGACCACCTGCATCATGAAGGACCCCACCCACCCAGCACACACACTTTTTGCCCCGCTCCCCTTAGGAAGGAGGTTAAAGAAAATTAAGTCCAGAACCACTAGACTGAGGAACAGCTTCTACCCTGAGGCTGTTAGACTCATGAATCTCTAATCAGTATAATCAATGTGAAAAATCACATTATGTTGCTGCTGATCTGTTTCATGTTGCTGTGCTCGTCTGCTTTCACAGACTCATGTTCGTGATATTGTTAGATGTAATGTTTTAATGCTACTAGTGCTTAGTGTATTAATTAGCTGGTGTTTTTCTTAGTTCATATCTTAGATCTTATTACTGTTTTTCTTTTACAATTTATTGTTGGATGTAACAGGGACCCTGTGTACATAATCTCGTTCCACCACATGTACCACATGAGATGCGAATGACAAATACATTTCTCTGACTCTGACTATAGGGGCCAATCAGCCTGTAACAACAGGCCCCCAATCCCATACTCGCAGAGCACCCACCCCACCCACTGTGTACCCTGAGGAAAACGGTCAAATGCTTTTTTCCAAGTCTACAAAACACATGTAGACTGAATGGGAAAACTCCCATGATCCCTCGAGGACCCTAGTGAGGGTAAAGAGCTGGTCCAGTGTTCCACGGCCAGGACACATTGTTCCTCCTGGATCTGAGGTTCGAACAAACAATCAGACTTGATTCACCAGTGCCCTTGAATAGACCTTACTAGGGAGGCTAAGAAGAGTGATGCCCCTGCAATTGAAGCACACCCTCCAGTCCCCCTTTTTGAATAGGGGAACTACCACCCCAGTCTGCCAATCAAGAGGCACTGCCCCGATGTCCATGCAATGTTGCAAAGACGTGTCAACCAAGACAGCCCCACAACATCCAGAGCCTTAAGGAAATCAGGGCAAATTTCATCCAACCCCGGAGCCCTGCTGCCGCACAGATTTTTAACTACCTCAGCGACCTCTGCCATGGTTATGGACAGACCAACCCCGAAGACTCCAACTCCGCATCCTCCAGGAAAGACATGCTGGTGGGATTGAGAAGGTCTGAGAAGTATTCATCTCACCTCCTGATGACATCACTGGTTGAGGTCAACAGCACCCCACGTTCACTGAACACAGTGTTTGTATCGAAAATGATTCATCTTCCTATATCGCAACAAGATGGCGGCGCGTGAACAACGCGAGGCTCAGCGTCTCTCCAGAACATGCTATTTAGGGTTTTTCTACCTAATTTTGACTGGACTATTCATCCAGAATTGCTCGGCGTTGCTGTTCTACAGCAGACAGGAGCTTCTGGACATTTGGACTCAAAACTCCAATAGTTTTGTTGCTGATCTCCGACTCATCCCAGAGATCTCCAGAACCCTGGAGCCTGCTTACTCTTCCAGGCCGGGCGGAAGTACACGCAGACAGCACCGAGAACGTAAACAAAGGCAGGGTAAGCACGGAGGACTACGGGCTAAGCTAAAACTTACACCACACCAGCTGCCCTTACCCAGCATTTTCCTCGCCAATGTCCGTTCTCTGGCAAACAAAATGGATGAAATATGGCTCTCCATCACCAACAACAGGCGGATTATGGACTCATATGTCATGATTTTCACTGAAACATGGTTAAACAACAGCTGCCCGGACAATGCTATTGAGTTAGCAGGACATCACACACACCGAGCCGACAAGATAACTGAGGACTCCGACAAGACCAGAGGTGGAGGTTTGTGAATTTATATTAACAAAGCTTGGTGCACAGACTCTGCTACTACCGAGAGACAATACTCACCTAATGTGGAGTTTATAATGGTCAAATGCAGACCTTATTACCTCCCCAGAGAACTCACTTCCATCATACTCACTGCAGTGTATATCCCCCCGGATGCTAATGCTAAGCTGGCTATGAAAGAACTTTATGCAGCCATTAGCAAACACCAGACCAAACACCCTGAGGCTGCTTTTATTGTGACTGGTGACTTTAACCACTCCAACTTGAAGACAGTCCTCCCCAGATTCCACCAACATGTCTCCTGCCACACCAGAGGGGACAAGACTTTGGACCATGTTTACTTCAACCTGGCGGGAGCATACAAAGCAACACCCCTCCCCCACATTGGACAATCAGACCATCTCTCCATTTTCCTCACACCTCGGTACTTATCACTCATCCAATGTGTGAAACCCACTGTGAGGACAATAAAAGTGTGGCCAGAGGGGACTGACACTGTGCTCCAGGACAGGTTCAAAAACACTGATTGGAATATGTTCACTCAGACAGACTTAGAACAGTATGCCTCATCTGTGCTGGACCACATCTCCACCACTA